TGTCCTATTTGCCATGCAAAACCAAGCCAGTTTAATAAGAAAAATAGGCTAGATTTTCCAACATCCGACAAGGCACTCCACTTTGGTTGCCAGCCGTTGCACGCGACAATTAATATTTTCAATTGTTTGCTGCACATTTCATACAGAATAGGAATTCGTGTTTGGCAAGTAAGGAAACCTGATGAAAAGGATTACTTTAAACAACGAAAAGCGGATGTTCAAAAGATTCTACTCCAAGAGTTCAAAGCACACGTTGATATTCCTAAGCAAGGTGGAGCTGGATCGACAACAACAGGAGGATTATGCCGGAGGCATAAACTTGCATTGGCACTCGGTCTAGACGAGAACTTAATTAGGAACCTATCCGCGATCTTGCTGATTATAAACAGTCTAGATAAGGTAAACCTGGAGGACTTCGACCAATTGTGCAATGCAACATACCAGATGTATATTGAAATGTACGAGTGGTATCCCATGCCAGCTACACTTCACAAAATTTTAGTGCACTCCACCAGCATCATGGCAACTCTACCCCTATCATCTGGATTTATGGGAGAACAAGGTTCTGAAGCAAGAAACAAATATTATAGAAACGATCGACTATTTCACGCACGGAAAGTCTCAAGAGCTGCCAATATGGCAGATGTATTTTATCGGGCGATGGATTCTTCCGACCCAATTCTAGCAGCTCACAAAAGAAAGAACAACCCAAGGAAAGATTTATCTAACTGCTTGCAAGAATTGGGGTTTCATTGGTTTGAAGGATATATGGACAACGAAGACAAGACGTACGACTAAGTTGAAATATATGCACACAATAACTGTATGATATAACCACAGACAAACAGACATAACACTCGCAAGTTGTTCATCGAACAAGCATTTAACGGACAATTTAAAAGTATCGTAGTTGGTAGTACCACACCCTGTGGCGCGCATAGTCAATTCCCTTGCGTTTGACGTTTACACACTACCGCCATCTGTTCAGTGTAGTGCCCACCACAGTGTACTCAACAGATGGCGGTAATGTTTTAGCGACGATGTTTTACAGTGAGGAATATTCAATATGTTATGTCTGTTTGTCTGTGATATAACTGTAAAATGTTAATAAATTCTCACATTTAAATGTATGCATTACTGTAACTTTACTCTGGATTTTTATTCTTTATTAGAGAATAAGAGATTATAGATAATTGTGAATTCTTTTTGTGAATTTAAGTATTTAAAAGTGTTTTTTTTTTTTTTGTAATTATTTAGCCCGGTAGGGTTGCTTTTGGCTTTTTTTTTAACCAATGTTATCTCTAGTTCCAATCATGTTTTTCTCATCAAGGGTACAAAAGGGTACAGATAATATTCTATAGGTTGTGTAGGCAGGCTCATATTTGCTCCTTTTGGAGGAAAGTGTCCAGGAAAAATTGACTTTTTTTACACTAAAACAGGAATAACTTTCGTAAAATAACAACTATCAATTCCCACCTCTTCTCAAAAGAGGCGTCTTCTCATGATCTTGAAGTTCTTTGAAGGTGGCTCTCAATATAAAACAGAAAGAAAAAGTTAGAGCAAAAAAACTGTTTTTTTTTCAGAACCACCCTATCTGAATTTAGAAAAACGTTCGTAGAATTATGTGTTGATGAGATAGAATTTTGATGTCCTTGGCAAAGTTGCTTGACATTAAATTATCTTTGACTTTGTGGAAGCAAGTATTCTCCTAAAACATATAAATAAAAAGTTATGATTTTTTATTTTGAAAAAAGAGGACCACCCTAGTAACCACCTATGCTAAAAGGAAGATCTTATCTTGTAGACAAACTCTTCCGAAGACATCAAACCACTAGAGTGCATAGTTTTCGAGATATAGATTTTTGTCGTGAAATTTCGCGTTTTCGGCCATAGTGCTGCGGGCCATTTGCAACATTTGCAAGCGCTTTATTTTTTGTTGACAATGACCGAACAGAGTTAGACACGCGCAGTAGATAGGGAAAACCAAATAGAATTCAAAATAATAAAAAATGAATTTAGGTAAATGAAAAACTATATGTATTTTGAATATATCCCTTATTAGATTCCCTATTCACTGATAATGATTCATGGTTATTAGTTCCCTGAAAGATTTCTATAGTCTTGTGCATTTCTGTATGAAGGCAAAATCCCCTTTCGTGACGGTGTCGTATTCTAGCGTGAATAGCGGAAACTTCCAGTGATAATAACTGAAAGCTTTGAAGGAGAACTTTGCTTGCCTTGCCGTATTCTTAGGGTAGATTTTGAGATGTTTTTCGTTCGGGTGTGATGAGATCTATGAGACTAGAGCGGGTGAAGTTGGGGACAGCCGGACCGTTTTGTCGGGCAAACTAAACATTGTCGATCGGTCCTCATTAGAGGCGCATAAGCCGTTCGTTTAACAAAATCGGATGCGAAACGGTGGTTTCTTAGTGGATTAATCCTTTCATTTGGAAGTAGAACGCCAATCGTCTCTGGACGATGTCGGGCGTGCTACAAGTCGTAGCAACCGTTTTGTCTGTATCGTTGGTTGCTTTATGTGTTTGGATTCGCTGGTCATGGCCAGGCATGGAAAATCATTTGCATTCATTTCGTGCATTCATTTACATTCATTTGCCTCTAGCTTTTTTGTTCAACAGCATTCCGCAAAATGATGTATGAAGCTTTGTAGGTTTTGTTATGAGCTACAACTTTTGTTAACAAGTCAAATCCGTATCTCTTATGCATGACGAAGAAGAGCGAACAGAAGCCACTATTGTTTTTCAGTGAATGTATTTTACATTCACTGAAAACAGTAACAAGTTCTACCCGGTCTAGTTTGTGATGCATAAGAGATACAGATTTGAATTATGAGCAAAACTTGTAGCTAATAACAAAAGCTACAAGAGTTCGATACATCATTTTTCTGAATGCTGTTTATGAAAAAAGTTAGAGGCAAATGAATGTAAATGAATGTATACAATGAATGCAAATGATTTTCCATGCCTGGTCATGGCACAATCTGGTTCAATGTTTCAGGGTTCTTCAAAAAGTTAAAATATGGCATGGTCAATTAAGACTCTAGAGATGTATGCAAAACCACTATTAAGTAAGACATCAGGCGTAATCTTTGATTACGGCACAAAAGCTTTTTTTGTAAACAAAAGTTGTAAGACCCCTTACACGCGAACGGAAGACCGCCCACGTAAACCAACAACATCATCGGGTCTTCTCGGGGATCTCTTCGATAATTGTATTGGTTTGCGTGGGCGTACTTCCGTTCGCGTGTAAAGGGCCTACCCAAGTTTTTGGGCCGTTATCAAATGTTACGCCTGAAATAAAGAATTAATTTCAGGGCTGTAAATAGATTACGCATAATTTTTTAGAAGAGGGAAGTACAACCACAGACAAACAGACATAACATATTGAATATTCCTCACTGTAAAACATCGTCGCTAAAACTAGAACAGATGGCGGTAGTGTGTAAACGTCAAACGCAAGGGAATTGACTATGCGCGCCACAGGGTGTGGTACTACCAACTACGATACTTTTAAATTGTCCGTTAAATGCTTGTTCGATGAACAACTTGCGAGTGTTATGTCTGTTTGTCTGTGGTACAACCAATCTGCAAAATTTCTAAACTTCATTTTTTTTAATTTTAATGTTTAAAATCTAAACAAAAACGTTATAGCACAGACAAACAGACATAACACATTGAATATTTCTCACTGTAAAACATCGTCGCTAAAACATTACCGCCATCTGTTGAGTACACTGTGGTGGGCACTACGCTGAACAGATGGCGGTAGTGTGTAAACGTCAAACGCAAGGGAATTGACTATGCGCGCCACAGGTAGCGGTACTACCAACTACGATACTTTTAAATTGTCTGTTAAATGCCTGTTCGATGAACAACTTTCAAGTGTTATGTCTGTTTGTCTGTGGTTATAGTGTTAACTACCCCTTTTCCGGCCTATTAAGCAGAACCCGCACTTTCTTAATCTAGAGCAGTTTAGCACCAAACGGATTTTTATTATTACTGATGGCTTCCAAATTTATTTACCTTTCCGTGCGTACCGTAAGATCCGATAAAGAGAAACCAACCGATGGGACATTGTCAAAAGTCTACCACTGCTTCTTGACGCCAAACTCGGCCTAACCTGCAAACATTCATATCACGCGTTCTCATTAACTAAAGTATCGTACCAAACGCATAATAGACTTGTTAACACTGAACTCATGGATTTATTTGAAGTTTTCTGATCGATAGGCCCAAAATGGGCGATTAGGTCGAAGTAGTTCTCTACCCTACGTGGTTTATTAACAATCCCTAACGTTGTTATATCGATGAATGCGCTTTTAACAATAATTCAAGCAAGTACTGAATGATTTTTCCGTGACGGCATTCTGAAATACAACCCGCGGAATTAGGCTCAAGCAAACAAATCAGTGTCCTCCATTCCCCGCATGAGATTTGCTATTGTAATTAACTGTTTATTGCATGTTTCAATTCAAATAGTTTTTCAAATACTTTAAACCCACCTATCCATAAACGATGTGTACCATATTCCAAAAAGAATCACGCTTTTGAAACTAAAACACTGTTTTGTTTCCTATGCGCATTTTTAACATAATCACAAGGCCACAGAAGCAAGAAAGCGCCTGTAAAGATGCGCCTTTGCAATATGTTTTCTCTACAAAAACGAAGTTTATTAGTTTTATTTCCATGCATGAATTATCTTTAAAAAAAAATCTATCAATTTCCTAGCCATATCCTATGGAATATTTTTTCTTGGATTTTCAATCTTTACAAATACTTAACCAACCGGAATTCGTTGTAGTTCATCTTTATTTTTGTTTTGTTCGAATCGAAGTCGGAGTCGATCGATGTAGATCCGGCTCCACAGATCCGAGCACCTATCCCAGGGATGTCTTCAGAAAACTTCATCATCATTTAACCAATCAAATCCGTCTAATACTCAGTTCCATTTTGTTTTTCTTCAGATTTCAACCAAACGTGTGCTTTTAAGATGATACGGAAACCCCACCATGTGCGACGAAACGGTCACTGCCCCATTCACGAAGGATCCCATCATTCAACTACTGCAGCGCGGCAGCCCAAATCCAAAGTAATCATCCAAATTCCCCAACAGGAGCAGGCACATGTCATCGAAATGAACCCGGACACGTCGTCTTATTCCTCAGTATGCTTCTCAGGATCTTTGTATTTGCTGCGAATCAGATTTGAACCGGACGACACATACACAAACACACACACACATACATACTCTTGGTAGGTACCTATCCCCTATCATCGTCCAAGAGGTCCGAAAGTGCTGAGACTGTTTGCTGCTGGCTGCTGCCATATTTATTGTCCTTACCAAACTGGGAGCGTGTGTAGAAGAAAGACTAAAATAAAGATCGTTACGAGGAAGAGTAAAAACAAGCGCTGCGTATCCGTCATCATCTATGTCGACTTAAAGTATTGCCTTGAATGAAAGAAATTTTCCCCCGGCTACGAACCTCTTTGCCTAATCCGCCCAACTGTTGATCAGCTCCGGATAGACGATGTTCTTCCAGTAGTCCATTGCTTTGTTCAGCTTGTTGACGGCAAAGTTCCGATTCAGGTTAAACGAGTGCATATAGATTTCGTTGTTGTTCTCAAAGTCCGGATCGGCCACGCATACCACCCCGGCCGTCTTGCCGTGCATGTACATGTGAATCTGGATCTCCATGTAGTACTTCTCGCAGATGGATCCATTCTCTGTGACGTACTTTTGCATGTGATCCCGCGTCTTGGGGCACTTAATTTCTATGACGTGCGACTGGCAGATTCCGTCCGGCACGTCAAAGATGATGGGGTAGTTTGGGTTGAGGGTGATTTTGCAGTTTTCGTACTTGGTTTTCGTGTACTTTTCCAATCGCTGTCGCACGGCGAGCTTCTTTCGTTGGACGTTCGGATCGATTTCCTTATGACACCCGAGGATGGTTTCGTACAGGACCGATTGGGTAACGTTCAGGTTGATGCAGTCGGAAACTTTGGCGCTGGTGATGCGGGCGTAGCGCAACTCCAAATACCATGGGTTGAATTTGGGCGTGAACTTTGTCTTTTCCGTTAGGACGCCTTGGGACGCCGAGATGACCTGGTGAGCGTGTTCGAAGAACTGGGCCGTGTCAAACTTGTTTCGCACGGCCGTCAGAATCATCTCGTGAATGGAAAGGTTGGCGAACTTCTTATGTGTTCCGGGGAAATTCCATCGCAGTGGACAGTCAATGTCCTCAGTCTGTAGGATGCGTACAATCTCGCGTATGAAATTCTTCGCTTTTGTCTTGTTTAGTGGTGGTTTTGGCGGAATGCTTTCCAGTTCGGCAGAGAGGGGACCTCGGAAATAGCACACCACTTCACTGCTTTCATCTCCTTCACTCTTCCGGTGCAGCCAGGTGACGAAGCTTATGGCATGCCGGCAGTCGCCGCTTTCCATACACTCGCTACATTCCACCGACAGGATGCGGTCTTCGCCCTCGTCGACCATTGTGGTCAGCTGGTAGATTTTGGCCTCGCCGTTGTTCGTTGCCACCGTGAGCTGACCCTTCACGATGCAAATCCGATCATCCCGCTTGAGGTGGACATAGCAAATGGCATCGTCGGAGAAGTCCGGTTTGCTGCCCGCTACCGATTGCCTGCAATTTCAGAATTTCCCCGTCAAATTACAGGTATTAAAACAAATTCTCCACTAATAAATCATCATCAAAGCCAAAATAAAGCACAATTTGACTTGGCTGTCAACGCTAGTCGTCGAACTCAAAAACAAAATTGGCACCTCACACATCTTTCAATTCCTCCGTCATCGACGGAGACAGACAGGAGGCGTCGAGGTGTCACTTTTTGGATTGACATCTTGCGACTGACACCGAAAAGTTCGTTGGAACTCGCGAACCCCGTCCGATACTCACAAAATCTTGACCAGATCCGGATTTTCGCTGGCCGAGCGCATCAGATGGACCACGTAGTTCCACACCATCTCGCTCCCCACGCTCGGCAGATTACTCGAGTAGGCTTTGGTGAAGCCACCGCCCGGGAGAGCCGAGCTGGAATCGTTCACCACGAAGTCGGTATCGGTATCCACTTCCATTGCCATGTTGTCTGTCTGTTTTGTCGTATGCTCCAACGTACTAAATCGGATTTGGATTGCTGGAAATAACGGAATATAACAGTGATTTCGGTGAGGAATTTTTCGGAAAAAAAAATGTTTTTGTTTACCTGCGCGGCTCTCTGCCCTCACAAATGATGGCTTTATTTCTTTTCGCTTCACCGCGGATCGGTCTTTGAGGGACCTGTGGCGTCTGAAAAAGACGCTTATTCGTATCGATCTTCTACATGAGCTAACGTGGAACACATACTGTTTGAAATATTTCGAACATTGGTGGTGCCACGAATGGGATTTTATCAACTATACACGCTAAGATCAGTTTCCCCAGATTGCGATAAGAGATTACCCAGATTGGGCGCACATAGAAAAAAAATACCCTAAATTTAAGTTCTTTTGCCGAGTAACGTGGGTAGATCACCTTTTCGTGGTGCGTTACGGGATGTAAGATCTACCACCGATTTCTAGTCCTGACTAATTCAAACAAGGGAAACAGGATTTTTCAGTAATACAACACGCAGAATAAACACTCAGGCGTAAATTAACAAAACATTTTGTTATTTTTTAATACGATATTTATGTTTGATTCAATTCATAAAAATGTTTTAAATAAATGTATCACTCCATTTAAATTAAACTGATAAAATTGTTGTGTCAAACTGTCAGTTGTGTCGGCATGCATTTCATGAAGATCGTCACCACATGTTTTCAAATGTGTTTCGACCAGGAGAACCAGGTAGATGGAAGGTGAAACTTTCAAAATAAGCATTTACGAATCTTCTATTATTTCACATTTCCAGATGCGGATATGTTCAGTGGACACAAACCATAACAACAAGCCGAGTTGTAGCAATCCAGATGCTGACGCTAAGTCCTCCTATTCAGCAAGAGAGCCTTCAAAAGTAATGTAACATCATCGAAATTTAGGACAAGCCCAACTTCCATCAAGCAATCGGAGTTGAGACAAACATCGGCTACCGATGCCGATTAAAATTCCTTCACCGTTTAATATGTGTCCATCCACATGAATTTTCCCCTATCCGGTAGTGGCCCTCACTATTCCTCCAAAATATGGCTGCACCAAACTTCCAGGAGCAAAATCATCCAATTTCCAACCACAACGTCTGGCTCAGAAGATTTAAGAGAACCATCTCTTGTTGAGCCATCATCGTCACCATCAGCCACCATCACTGCACTTACAGCAGATGCACTCGCTTCCAGCAACACAAATAGTCAACATTAACACCAACAATATCAGAATCAACACCAGAATGGCTCTAGCTCTGGCGAATATGACGAGTATGCCAACTTAATTAAGTGAACGTGACAAACAGTGACTGCTCAATTGTCTCAATCGAACAAAGACTTCTAGTACTTCTTACTACTTTACATGTTATTTGCAATATTTTTTTCAATAAAGACAACCTGGGCATTGAAAATAAAAACGATTCTTAAATAATTAAAATGATGTTTCAAGACAACAAAAAACGTACATTGCTTCAAAAAATGCTTCAATTTGATCCAAGCAAACATTTTGTTTGAATCAATAATAACCGATGATCAATTCAATAAAGTTAGTATAATTATTTCAACTCAATGTTTTTGTTGAATTAATCTGTCAATTTTATTGATCCATATTCTATTCAAAATTTTGCTTAAAGTGAAACGAACTTTATTTGATTCACCTACGTTTTTTCTGCGTGAAGGAACACATCTTACACACTCAGATTTTTTCACCGAGTCCGGCAAAAAAAAAGTGTCGAGAATCCAACAACCGAGCCTTCGGCAAACATCTCGGTAAAACATTCAATTACCGTTAGATCGGCAAAGCACAATTTACCACAACTGTCAAATTTTGCCAATCCTTTGGAAAAATTGTTTACCATTTATCGGTAATTTTTTTTGTGAATCATGGCTATTTTTTTATTATTTGTTTGCTTGATTACGGTTGCGATTTTAAAGGGAAATAAAAGTAGGAGGATACAATTTTATAACATTTTTTTTTATTCCTCGAAAAATAAAACACTCAATCTAGCCATAAATAATCAGAACTTACCGTACATCGTCGGCGAAGGTTTGACCAACGTGACCAATGAGAGTGGCAAATTCGGGTGATCCGGTGCTTCTGGCTTGGGGCTGGCGTAGTTTCTCCTCTTCGGTTAGGACTGAACTCGTTTCGAGTCAAGGGCAAGCCGTGGCTCGTTGGATCAGATCAGTTGCTTTGATTTTGCACAGATCGGACCGGACAAGGGCGTTGAACAGGGAGTTCTTGCCAACGTTGGTGCATCCGACCAGATAGATTTAACCACGTGTTCCCCAGAGTTGTGGATTTTAGTGATCAGCTGTTCTACTCCGTAACCGGTGGTGACCGAGATGAGCTACACGTGTTTGATGTTATTTCTGGTGAAACCAGCATCCAGGAAAGTTGTTCCGAGTGTTGTTCAGATAGCCGGGGCAGTCCCTAAGAAGAGGGTCGATTTTTTTTCTCGACGACGATTATCGATCGTTTGGGTCCAAGAATTTCTGACATACCCGGCCAGATGGAGCACGGGAGATCGAGGAGATCCACCTGAAAGGGATTACAAGAGGAATTAATAACATTTTTTATTAAACAGAAGTCTAGCAAAATGGTACCAACCAGTAACAGGACGAGTGACTTCATATCCTTGATGCAGGATATAATCTCGATGTAAGCTGGCATCACTGGCATCTCTCGCAGATGCTGGTCATTAGCTGCTGCTTGGATTTATTCATAAACAGCTACTGGGCAGATACCCGGGAATGCACGGTTCGGTGAATTGCAGCAATGCACCACAGCCACTGCAAGGAATTTTAGAAACTGATTGCTTCGGATCTAGCGTTTCGTAGAAGGTCGTTCGATCGTCGTCTTCATCCTCTTCGTAGTACTCGTAATCGGACATCTGATCTCCGGTTGTCGGTACTGCTTCTTCCGTCTAGGAAGATTCATCCCAGGGAACCTGTTGAATCATCCTCACTGATTTTTCTGAACTACGACGCTACTACTTTTAAATTTTCATGCGCCACCTAACCTTATTTTATCCTGACAGTTATTTATGTGTCCGACTTCGTTGACAGATATTTCAAGTATTTTCGGCAAAGCAAAATGTGAATGCCGTATAGTTCGTTATATTATTTTGCTGATTTTGGCAGTTTGAGATTTTTCCGATTAGATCAGTGATTACAATGGACAAAGCTTGGTAAATGATTGTTTTTACCGAAATTTGGCCAAAACCAGATACGAATTTTAATGAACTATTATATGTTTAGCAAAACTTCGGTAAATTTTCAGTTTACTGAACTGTTACGGCAATATATTTCACCGAGGACAGATTTTGATTTTAAATGTGTAGTCCTTGTTACTTATTATGCCTTGTTGATAGTAACAAGACTCGGCTTTGTCCACCGAGGATGATCTTGAAATAAGGAAAAAAAATGAGTTAGTTAGGCTTCATCTATGTGATTCCTGTGGAATTTATAATTCCACTCTGGGGGAATCGTCCAACGCAGGAGCCTCACACTGCACGACTCCGGCGACGGTCGACATACGAAAGAGGAAGAGTAAAGCAGTAGCAAGCTGTGATTGCCTCTGCCGAATGTTGAAGTCGAATGAATCCATGATGTTCATCCATTTGACGAGGGATAATTTTGGGGTATCCGGCTACGTTAGGGTGTACCCCACAATTCCTAATCTTCTATTCGTTGTTAAAGTGGTTAAGACTAAGGGTTCTGATGCATGGTCATTATTGGTGTCAGTTCTTAATTTTGTTGCTAAAGAATCCAATTTTGACTGACAAAGGGGCGTGCCTTTGGAGGGTGATTCAAATTCCAAAGGGTTTAAATTGCGGGACCTTTCAATTAGAGTCGGATCCTTGCGATAAATGCGAGAATGACAACTGAAAAAAAAATCAAATACTTCAACATTTATTAATAGTGATGGAGTTATACCAACAATCAATACGAAACTAACGATTTTAAATTGGCTCACCACTTTAGTAGCCTATTGGTCCCAAGCAAACGATTAACGTACCCTATTCTAGTTGAAATTCTATTACTACACTATGTTTGTTTTGATTCGCTATGAAAGTTTGACAGATAACATCAGGGGTGTGTGGATTCATGCAGAACATGCAGGGGTGAGTGAAATAGCTTGGGACTGCTTGGGACCGTTGTTCTGGTACTGAGTGAGCCAAAAATAATAATGATTTTCTTCGGGACCCAGTGGTCTTAGAGTTACCTCTATGGTTATACCATAGAGGTAATCTAAGACCACTAAGTCCCGAAGTGAAATAGCTTGGGACTGCTTGGGACCGTTGTTCTGGAACTGAGTGAGCCAAAAATAATAATGATTTTCTTCGGGACCCAGTGGTCTTAGAGTTACCTCTATGGTTATACGACATCCACTAAACTAAGAACATGGGATATACTATAATAGATCAAATTACTGGTCGCAGTGGTGCTAGTCCCGAACAGAGGAAAAAAAATGTTATTTTTACTTAATTTTGAGTGTCTCTCACTTCTTATTGTTGTCAAAAACGAAACGAGAGATTCGACTTTCTCATGACTATCGTTCAATAAGCTACTAGTATAGAGGTAACTTTAAGACCAGAAGGTCCCGAAGAAACGAGCTCAACTTTTTGGCTCAGCTCTGGTACTATCTTCGGTCCCAAGCTAATCGATGCACCCCTCGAAACATAGGAAAATCCACGAACCCCTCATTTTATCTGTCAAACTTTCATAGCGAATCAAAACAAACATAGTGTAGTACTACAATATCGACTAGAATATGGTACGTTAATCGATTTGCTTGGGACCAATAGGCTAGTCAAGTAGTGAGCCAATTTAAAATCGTTAGTTTCGTATTTATTGTTGTTATAACTCTCCAGTCTGTACAGCGTTTAATAGTACGTTCAGACTACAGAGTTATAACATGTTATAGCGCTATCTTGATGGTGGTTTCTGTGTTGCAATTATTTGACAACCGTTATAACATGTTATAACTCTCCAGTCTGTACACAGCAAAAAAAGTTGTTGAATATTACATCGAAACTGCTGCAACCAGGTCAATCCATCGGTTGTGTAATATCACATTGTACGATGTACATCGATTTTGCGAACAAAATTACATCCATTGATGTAATATTGTATCTGCTTTTTGCTATTACATCATTATTTCATACATCAGCTTGAATTACGTTGATCGATATTACATTTTTTTTTGCTGTGTACAGTCTGTAATGCAATATTTAGCTTAAAATGAGGAAGCTTCAACGGCTGTGTATACATTCCCAAGAGGGTACATTCGTGCGTGAACTTAGCCCACTAAACTTATATCGTTCGTGCCCCTTTCCACGGTGTCACTGATTGAATTCCGTTGTTTTGATGATGATGTCAAAATAAAAAACCGTCATCATTAATCATTGATTAAATATTATATTGATTTTTGATAACAAAAAGAAAGAAAATCTATCGACAAAAACAGCACAAGGTGCACTCTCTCACATCAAGAAACAATAATCGCAAAAAGCAAACATATTCCTAATTATTAGCTATTGCGCTGCGACAGCAAGAAATCACCTTCCCCCCTTTGTGTTTGTTGTGTTCCTCAGCTGATAAACGAAAATATACCAACAATCGATAAAAGATGGACTCTCCCTCCGGAGACAAAGACGCCAAAATCGGGCTAAAGCTGGCGGAGATATCGATTCACAAGTTCAACCAAACGATTCCGCAGTATCTGAGCCTGCTGAAGAACCACAAGTGCAACATCGAAAAAGCCAGCTCCCTGAAGGACTGGGACCGGATCAAGCGGGAGCAGATCAATGCCACTCGGGTCATCAAGCAGATGAAGTATTTGATACTGGAAATCGATAAGGTGCGGGCCCGGGTTCAGGAGGGAGATTTGGAACGTTTTGACGGGGCAATCGAGGGGGCCAAGAAGAATGCCTTTACAGCGATGGGCGAATATTTGGGTAAGTTGCGGGGACTCATAACGAAATGTCCTTGAAAACATGGCAGTGCTAAACAACAAAATACAAACAAACACAGTGCGGGGGTGGAAATGGGGTATTGTTGTGTAAACACTCATCGATTTTCTTGTTTTGGTGTTTTCAGAGGCTCAGCAGAAAATGGTTTCGCGATCGCAATCTACGTACAGCTTCACAGATGAGGATTATTACACGAGTCAAGAGCAGCAGGACAACCAGTACGGACGCCAGTTGGTACATGTCCCGGAGATAACCAGTACCTACAACCGGGAGGCGAACGAGCTTCGGCAGAGAGCAGAATGTCTCAAGGAAATGGAAACTCTCCAGCAAGAGATTGTCGATATTCAGGATCTGTTCCAAACGGTTCACTCGATGTCCCATGAACAGGCTAGGATGGTAGATGCAGTAGAGGAAAACGTTGAGGTGACACAGGGTCACGTGGAAGAGGGCGAAACGGTCCTGAGGAAAGCACTCAAGTACAAGAAAGCCATCTATCCGATGTGTGGGGCGTTGCTGGGATCCTGCATAGGTGGGCCAATTGGGTTGATAGTGGGCCTGAAAGCCGGAGGATTGGCTGCAATCGGAGGGGGTTTGGTCGGCTTTGCCGGGGGCAGATACGTCAAGGAGGAAGGAGGATTAGAAGCTGTTGATGCGATAGACGGTGGAGACAGGGGAGTCGAAGTGGAAGCAAATGGAGCGGCTCTGATCACCGGACCTGACCAGACCATTTGCGAGCGGAAAGAATGACAGTTGAGGTGGTTTTGCACTATCCAGTAGATTGATGCTAGCTGAAACGTGGCTCGTGTAGGATTTCATCGTTTTATTTTGTTGATGTTCATCTCGAATCGGAGTGTCGTTATTATTTTTTTAGGTAAGAAAAATGGATTTCTAATCTGCAGCAATTAACAATCCCTTTCTATTTTCAGTATAATAGACCAGTACTGTTATGGAAGATTCGACATTACAAATCTGGCAAACTTCATCGCTTATATGGATTTTTAACAGAGGGAAATGTCCAAACAATTCCTACGACAAACAATACGCTGCGATAACTCAAAGAATAGATGTTACTGTGTAAGGAAAGGATATTGATAGAACTAGTTATTTCATTTTTGAAACATTATTTATTGATACGTGTTTTCCTCCAGTTTACAGAAAAGAAGTAAGACTTAAACCAAAATTACAGCATAGAAAAATTAGAAAGATCTTTTCCTTTCAAGAAAATCACACTTGACCCCTCCAGTTGTTGGTCGAATCGATAAAATGCATCTTACGACCCGGACGGCCACGCTTCTTCTGGATCTTACCCTCCCGAAGCAGCTTCTTCTTGCGTTCCTTCTTGGGGTGATACCAAACCGGATACTGCCCGAACTGATCCTGCATCGTCCTGGTGTTGTATTTGTGCTTGACTTTCGTTTCCTGGTGCTCGATTACGATAAACTTTTCCTTTTTCTTACCCAGCTTTTTTGTTTCTTCGTTGATTAACTCCTCCATCGCTTCCTCTTTGATTTTCTCTTCATTCTGAAATTTCGAAAACAAATCCAGTAAAACCATTTTACCTCTTTCTTAACGACGTCACAAACCTCCTTCTTCTTTTGCTGCTCCGTAATGTCCTTCACCTTTTCCATTATGTCCATCCCGTCCTCGTCGATCATGCCCAGCGTCTTCTTAAGCTTTTTGAGCTCCTTTACCTTATTCTTAACGCGGCGGACGCGGTTGTTTTTGTCCCGCCGGGATTTGGAACGGGCCGTCATGTTGGTGGATGGATTTTTGGAGGATTTACGCACAAATTTTCTGAGGAAAACCGACTGAAATTCAGTCCGATAAACACGGAAACGTGTTTTGGTTCGGCTGCTGCTTGACGGCAAAGGAACGAGAACGATAATGTCAGTCGGGTGAAATGCACAGGGCACCGGGAGATGTTTCGATTTGACATTGTCGAAAGAAGAAGGTGAGGTACTAGAGTGCTGCACGGTAACTCGGAACAATTCAAAATTGAGTCGAATATACTCATTTCTGTGGGAAGTAGAGAGCTTTTTGACGTTTAATCGGCGCACACTACTGCACCATTTAAATCGAACGAGTGCGAGCAAGAGGGAAACAGATTAGTGGGAAAACAAACCGTGCATTTGTCCTTGTGTGCTAGATACACGCTAAGATAAGATTGCCTAAAATTAGGTTTTAATTTAACCTAAAATTAGGTTTTGATACTAATACCACAAACGAAGTGACAGACGACTTACTGACGAAGAAATCCATTAAAATAATGTGGTTCACTGTAATAGAATTTTCTTGGAAGCTTGTGCCATCATCCACCAGATGGGTTAGTTTTTTTGTTTTGATTTGAACAAAGTTGATTTTGTGTACAATGATTCTTTGACAGTGTGCAAAGAGTGCGTATCATTTTGTCATTTTTTTATGCATTTCAGTTTTGAGTAGAGTGAAAGAGATAGAACCAAAACATTCTAGTACATTCGGTTAAAATGCTAGTTCAATCTAGTAGTAGTGTTGCCATGTGGTACAATCCAGTAGTAGTGGTGTTGCCATGTGGTACACTGAAAAATTGCAATAGCAGGTTAGTCACCAAAGTTTTCGAGCCGCTCCGTCTGTCACTTCGTTTGTGCTAATACCATAGAGGTAACTCTAAGACCACTGGGTCCCGAAGAAAATCATTATTATTTTTGGCTCACTCAGTACCAGAACAACGGTCCCAAGCAGTCCCAAGCTATTTCACTCACCCCTGCATGTTCTGTATGAATCCACACACCCCTGATGTTATCTGTCAAACTTTCATAGCGAATCAAAACAAACATAGTGTAGTAATAGAATTTCAACTAGAATAGGGTACGTTATTCGTTTGCTTGGGACCAATAGGCTACTAAAGTGGTGAGCCAATTTAAAATCGTTAGTTTCGTATTGATTGTTGCTAATACCATAGAGGTAACTCTAAAACGCTGTCCAGACTGGAGAGTTATAACATGTTATAACGGTTGTCAAATAATTGCAACACAGAAACCACCATCAAGATAGCGCTATACACAGAAAAAAAAGTTGTTGAATATTACATCCAAACTGCTGCAACCAGGTCAATCCATCGGTTGTGTAATATAACGTTGTACGATGTACATAGATTTTGCGAACAAAATTACATCCATTGATGTAATATTGTATCTGATTTTTGCTATTACATCATTATTTCATACATTAGCTTGAATTACATTGATCGATATTACATTTTTTTTTGCTGTGTAACATGTTATAACTCTGTAGTCTGAACGTACTATAAGACTAGAAGGTCCCGAAGAAACGAGCTCAACTTTTTGGCTCAGCTCTGGTACTCTCTTCGGTCCCAAGCTAATCGATTCACCCCTCGAAAAATAAGAAAAACCAATAACCCCTCATTTTATATGTCAAACTTTCATAGCGAATCAAAACAAACATTGCGTAGTACTAGAATTTCGACTAGAATGGGGTACGTTAATCGTTTGCTTGGGACCAATAGGCTGGTCAAGTAGTGAGCCAATTTAAAATCGTGAGTTTCGTATTGATTGTTGCTAATACCCAGAATATAGGTAACATTTACCAATAAATAACGTTACTTTTTATTTATATTATGAGTAAAGAGCGTTTTCAAATATTTACTTTATTTTTTACCTAAAATTAGGTGAAAATTTAGTCACTATGCAACGAGCAGCAACGCTGTGTGAATTGTAGTGAAAGTTACAAAAGCTATGTGAAGACGAGTGTGAAGAATTTTTGAATGAAACCAAATATATCATATTAACAATTCATGCCTTTTCCAAATGTTGCAATGGCGACCCGCAAAATATTGCTTCACGCACCATCTAGCGTTGAAAAAGGTCAGCAACAATCATCCAATTACAAGGGGTGTGAATATAGCACCAATTACCAATTACGAGGGGTGTGAATATAGCACTTTTTATAAAAGTAAGAGTCAAATTATTTTCATTAATTACATTGTGTATATTGCTTTAAAATTTATTTGACATGTCACTGTTGTCATCAAATAAAATAAAATGCTGAAATACATTCATTTGAAATATCAAACAAATTTTCATTTGGTTTACCCCTCGTGACGATAAACAAATACATTTGTAGCCTTTTAGGCCACAGAGGTGCTTTCATCGCTAAAAATTTGGTTCGCCAGCTAAACGAAAGAGTGGATCATATTGTTAATATAATATATTTGATGAAACCGAAATTCAAATAATTCAATTAAATTTCAACGACGACTTATACGAATAGTGAGTATAATTATTACCTATTAATAATCCTAAGCAAATAACAAAAAATGACTAGTGCTGCAAACAAAAACTAACCTCACTTTTTGCTTATATTTTCCAATTCTAGCTATCAGAGGCCAATCCCACCTCAGCATCCCGCAGGCCCCGTCGTGTCTTCTTGCTGGCATCTCAAGTGCTTGTTCCTGTTCCTGCTGCTGCAATCCTTCCGGAAAGGTACTCGAGTTGTCGACGGCTTGCGGAAACCAGCCAGGAAAGCAGAGTGGTCGATCAGTGATATTCATGACCAAACGACCGTCAATCAAAAATTACAATTAAAATGTATTTTGCAAACGTTTTTGAATATACTTGCGTGTTTTTATATTTCTGAGTGGGTACAAAATGTACCATCAAATCCGAAAAACATCTTAAAAATAGCATCTGCGCTCGCGATAGCATTGCAAAAACCAATAATACAGAAAAAAAACGTAATTTTCGGTAAAAAGTAACGTTACCAAATAGGTAATTATTAACGTTAACGATTCTCAACCACCAATACCTAATTTAAGGTAATCGATGTTTACCGATTCTTTAAGTATGTGCACTTTTGTTCGATTATCGTTATTTTTTACCGACTTTTAGGTATTCCTGTCTTAGCGTGTAGGGCTGCCCTATGTAGTTTTTTTTTTATCTCTTGCATCTAAGCCCATCTACTCGCATCGCTCTCCACCTTTTTGCAGGAAATCTTCAAAATCATAATCAATCGTCTTTTTATCTATTAGGCGTGGGTGCATCTCACAACAGCACAGCAAAACAATTCCTGCATCTTAGATAGAGACGCCCCCCTCGGCCAGCACCGACAAACCAACAACGTGAAATTCGTATGGAATAATTTTCCACTAGCTTTCTACCCAAAAGTAAGTTAGTTGTACCCAAAAGTAGGTGAATATGATTATACTCAACGTTGGGTTCCCTCCCACACTTTACTATCCCTATCCCTGTTGAGTGCAAGGGGGGGAGGTGGCTGTCAAATACGAACAATCGTCGCCTACCTCGCATAACTGGTTCCAAACGTAAACAAGCCATAAGAAACCTACAGCGTTTGTTTACGTTTGGAACCAGTTTCATACAAGATGATCAGTAGGCTGATTTGACAGCACATCCCCCCCCAGGTTGAGTGGTATTGCTCCTCCGTTTTTGACAAATTAGAAGGAGAAAAGGAGATAAACTAGTCAAAAGTAGGTAAAAGCACAGAGAACAGACGTTCAAGTTCGGTCAGAAACTTGTGTAAAATAAGTGGGAACGTCGCCGTTACGTGGTGTTAGCATCTCCTGATTTTCTCTATAAATTTTACACTTTCGACCAATTTGGCGCTAGTATCGATAAATTTTCTGTTGAAAATTGCCACTTGGCGCTACTAGCACTTAGTGTCTAGTGTAATTTGTGCAACGCCAGCGCCATCATGTTGTCAAAGAGGGTTTTTAAGTGGGGAAGTCGCCGTTAGTGGCGCTTAAGTTGAATAGGAATCTTTACACAAGTTTTTAGAGAAATTTTGTTCGAGCCTCCATGTCTGTTCTCTGTGGTAACGGTTACTCAGATGATGACATTTGTCAACTGAGTCAACCTTACCCATTTTGAAAGAAACCAATGAATGCCCCATGAACGCTTCATATATAAATTATTTCGTCCAGGAAGAATATTAAAAACACATTATGAAAATTATAATTCTGTATTTATTGATACCAACGAATTATTTATATTAGAGTTGCATGCCTCACCAACTAGCTGAGCTTTCGTCATCCAGAATATTACGTAGCTGCTTCATTTTCCCTGCTTCACTTCTAAAAACCTCACTGCACAAAAATCGCCTGTTAACAACGTAATATCACAGACAAACAGACGTAACACTTTATTGTGTATCTTCGTTCATGCATTTAACGGTTGATTTGAATATTATCAGTTCCGCGAACTACTCGCCACAGCGCTGGCATCGGATCACTTTGACGTTTCTATACATTCTATAGAACTTTTATGCAATATTGTTTACGAGCTAGCGAGCAAGCTTGTTTTCCGCGAGAAGCCCGAGAGATGTCGTTACTGAGGTCATATGTTTTGAGATACTATGTTTTCAAGAAAAACTTTTTCAAAGAGTTACGTCTGTTTGTCTGTGGTAATATACTGGCAATATATTAGTAATTTTAGACGAAAAACATTTCTTCACTTTATTTGGTAAATTGTGGTATTTGTAAGTTATACAAAGCACTTGTTTGAACCTTTTTCATGTTCTATAATTGTTTTTGTCTCATAGAAGCTCCGTTATCGACATGAAATTTTTCCCTTCTAAATGAAAGTCATCCGATGCTATAACGAAAAAAATCTGCTTGCCGTTTACTCTGACGAAAAATAAATCACAAACAGTGCTGCTTGTTCGCAACATTTACTCTTGGCGGGACTCTTATTATAACATCGACTCTGCTCCATACAGCCACAGAGAACAGACATTGAGGCTCGAACAAAATTTCTCTAAAAACTTGTGTAAAGATTCCTATTTGACTTAAGGGCCTCTAACGGTGACTTCCCCACTTAAAAACCCTCTTTGACAACATGATGGCGCTGGCGTTACAAAAC